TCTTCTTTCGATCTTCCTTTCTTTGTTACTTTCGTTCCTTCTTTCTTTCTTTCTTTCTTTCTTTCTTTCTTTCTTTTTTCCTCTCTCGCACACTCCTCACCGATTTGGAAGGTTTTTTGGAAAAAAATAAAAAAGGAAGAAAGAAAGGAAGAAAGAAAGAAAGAAAGAAAGAAAGAAAGAAAGCAATAAAGAAAGAAAAAGTTAAAAAAGAGAGAAATAAAGAAAGAAAGAAAGGATGAAAAAAAGAAAGAATGAGGGAAAGAAGGAAAAAAAGACAGAAAGAAAGATAGGGAGAGAGAAGGAAGGAGGGTGCGTCTTTGTAATTATTTTTTTTCCCTTTGCAACGTTGTCATTTCTTTCGTTTTTTTCATAGCAATAAGAGAGAGAGAGAGAGAGAGAGAGACAGAGAGGTTGGCTATTGTGGGCCACCGGCACACGCATCGATGTGCATATGTGTATTTTTGGCCCGCAGTAGCCAACTTCGGTCAACATCAGAATGGCAGACCATCCAACAGTTTCTTTATTCGTGGCGATTGTCTCTATCTCTGGGTCCGGAATAGGGCTCTCTCTTTGTGTCTCTGTCGCAGCCATTTTATATGTGTTTACTTGCATGCGTTCTGGCGTTCATGTCTTTCTTAATTCCTGGTTCTGACGCTTGCGTTTCGAAATAAGGGTCCGCCATGTCGGAGTTGTGCCGTGTTGTTCAGTGATGTATGGACTCATGTACGGGGGGGGACGCAGATGTTGACTAGTAAATACTAGTGTTGCCACATTACATTTACACATAGAGAGTGTTTGGTAGGTCCCCGTTGACGCCATTGTACGGAAGCAGTGAGGCTCCCTCTCTGTCTCTCTCTCTCTCTCTCTCTCTCTCTCTCTCTCTCTCTCTCTCTCTCTCTCTTGCTGTGTCCACGTATTTCTCTGTATATACAATGCTTTCCAGATATCAAGGTTCACCACGACCGGACAGAAAAGAAAGTTGGGCGGAGAGTGTCATGCAAGGATGAATGAGTTCCTTCCCCCACGCGGCAAGGACCATAAGACACCTGAAACGGATCGAAACAGGGGTCGGACTGTAGTTAGCGACCGAGAACATATAGGCAGGCTAACAGAGGAGGTGCATAAGCAGAAAGTACTGCTTAGAGAGATGTCAGACGAACTACACCGCCTCAAGTCGCTCCTCGACGAAATGACAGAAACTGAGGAGCACAGGATGGTCACCGTGTTCTGGTTGTTGCTTGACAACATGAAAGATATAGACGTTACTCGTCTGAGGGAGGACATGTCAGCCAGACTTCAGGCAATTGCTGAAACGAAGAACACCACGTTCGACGAGTTTCAGGCATGGCTGGATATTGAAAGGGAAAGGCGCACCGCAGTCTTGAAGCGGTTCTCCGCCCACGTCATGAAGACAACAAACGGGGAGTCAGACGGAGGGGATGTCATGTGTCTTGCCAACTGCGGAAAGTGTGTGCTGAAGGAGGGGTGGGCATCGTACAATAACCAAGATTACAACACAGGTTCGCTACCTACGACGGCACACAGCGTCGTTGACCTCTTAGCCTTCGCCGAGGACTGCATTCGCCACTGTACGGAAACCGTCGAGGAGTACGGTCTGAGTGAAGTGGGTGTCGGGTCTGTTAATGACGAGCTTCCTGCAAAAATCGCGTCTCTGCTGAGCAGTTGCGAAGACGTAATAGATGCCCTGCAACACACTCGAGGCAGGTTGTTGGCTGGAGAACTGACGGTGACATGTATGGAAGGAGATGTTATGGGATGTGGAGAAGGTGAAACGAAGAAGGGAAGAGAAGAAGTTGACAGACCAATCGGAGTGTGTTCGAAAAATGGGGCCACTCTTGGGAAGGATGCGTCTGCGCCACACGTCGTGTTGGCGTGCAGTGATGTTGCCGCACTGAAATCTCACCACGTGCGTCACAACTTCCCCTGCGTGCTTGCCAGCAAAGCACCTTCGGCCGGACCAGAATCTTCTGTACTGCCTATGACGACGCAAATTTTTGAAAATTTCGTTGTTAACGCAAACTCTCGACAAATGGCCAGGCTGGTCGCGGACTGTTTTTCCCATATAATTTCATATATCGAAGAGATAATGGGACCGATGTTACTGAACGCGGACCATCATGGAGCGAAAAAAAAATGTGAATATTGCAGGAAAGGACTTGAAATCCATGAGCGCTTGAAAACTCTGTACAGAAGATGTCAAATTGTGGCAGCGCGGGTCGTCAGGGAAGCGTGATCTCTCTCTCTCTCTCTCTCTCTCTCTCTCTCTCTCTCTCTCTCTCTATCTATCTATCTATCTATCTATCTATCTATCTATCTATCTGTGTGTACCTATGTCTGGTTTTCACATACTTGAGGTTGGCTAGTGGGCCGCAACACTGAATGACCCTCTTTCGGCGCATTTCTACCTGTCCGACAGCACGAAGTTCTCCCCCTTGCAGGCCAATTCTGGTCTCGCATGTCACGTTCGGCGTCGTGTTGCATCGCTGATTGGTGAATGTATCGATTGTGCGAGTGTTGTTTTCCAAGCTGCAAGAGGTTGACTACTGCGTGCCATGACTGTGTGTACCATTGGTGGTTGTTGTCCCATTGGCCCACAGTAGCCAACCTGTCTGTCTGTCCAGTGTATGTATGCCTGTCTTCGCGAGGCTGACTACTGCGGGCCATGTAAGTGTACACCGCTGCTGGTTGTTATCGTTCTGGCCCGCAGTAGTCAACCTGTCGCTGGTGCCGCATGTTTTTCTGTTTTTCCAGCTGGGTGAGGTTGACTGCTGCGTGCCATGTCAGTTTGTACCGATGCTGGTTGTTGTCCCGATGACCCGCAGTAGCCAACCGCCCTCTAATGCAGTGTATTTCTTCCTGTATGGGTGAGGTTGACTACTGCGGGCCATGTAAGTGTACACCGCTACTGGTTGTTCTCGTTCTGGCCCGCAGTAGTCAACCTGTCGCTGGTGCCACATTTTT